GACATAATGATTCCTAGAAAATTAAGACAAACGAACTAGGGGAAATAATCACTCTCTTAATATAAATATGCATATTTCTACAAATTTAATTGTAAATGTCGAAACATATCACTAATTTCTTAAGTATGTAGTAAATAAACTTTACTTTATTCGGTTTTACAAAAACATATTGTCTACAAGCAGAATTAAATATATTGTCATCATAAATGCTAAAATTTTACGGCATAATTTAAGTTTTTTAAAAATCAGAGTTGGTATAAAAGCACGCTTTTCGATTTCATATTGCAGTTGATTTTAAATAAAAACTTACATGTAACTAAACAGTTGAGATCACACTTTTTTACTTTCTCGTATATACGAAGTATAGAGAAAGTCTTGTAATCGTGCAAAAAAAAAAAAAATCGAGATTTTTACAAATCTCGACGTTTTACACTGATACGAAAAAACATAATTTTGCAATCTTGTCCGTATGTCTGTGTGTCTGTCTGTGTGTCTGTCCGTGTGTAAACACGATAACTTGAGTAGCGTTACAGCTAGGTTGATGAAATTTCATATATAAGTATTTTATCAAAATCGTAGATCCGTATCAACTTTTGAGCGATTTCCGATAACCGGAAGTGGTACTTTTCCTACTTTGAATTTTTCAAAAGCCTATAACTTGAGTACTATTTCAGATAGATAAATGAAATTTCACATGTAAGTAAAAGATCTAATTCTCTACCTTCTGTCAAATTTTGAGTAATTTCCGTTGACTGGAAGTAGTAATTTACGCTACTTCCGATTTCTCAAAAAACTAATGTAAATTTTAAAAGTACTAATAATATTGCGCACTATTATGCGCTTTTTTATTTGGCGTTCACTTGGTGTGCAATTAATTTGTCTACGAGATTTTATTCTATTTTTAAAACTTTAAGTATTTAAAATGGATTAAAAATCATGTCTATAGCCCGAGTTCCCATCCCCTGTTATTTTATATAAGAATATTCGAGAAAGTTTAGGGGAGATCACTCCCGGTTTATTCTAATTAGCAACTATTTGTTTGTGTTCTTTAAAGATCATTTTTACTTTCTCGTATATACGAAGTATAGAGAAAGTATTGTAATCGTGCACAAAAATAACTTGAAATTTTAACAATTTTCACCGTATTACACATCAGTCCTTCATCACACCCGAAGTATAGAGGACTTATTTTAATCGGGCAAAAATTATCAATCCAGATTTATCAAAATTAAAAGATTTTATGCGTAATCCAGTCTGAAAAACTGGGCTTTGCAATTCTGTCTGTGTGTGTGTCTGTGTGTAAACACGATAACTTGAGTACCGTTACAGCTAGGTTGATGAAATTTCATATATAAGTATTTTATCAAAATCGTAAATCCTGATAACTTTTGAGCGATTTCCGATAACCGGAAGTGGTACTTTTTCTACCTTGAATTTTTCAAAAGCCTATAAGTTGCGTACTATTTTAGATAGATGCATGAAATTTCACACGTAAGTAAAAGATCTAATTCTCTACCTTCTGTCAAATTTTTAGTAATTTCCGTTCACCGAAAGTACTAATTTACGCTATTTCCGATTTCTCAAAAAACGCATGTAAATTTATAAAGCACTAATAGTATCCCGCACTTTTATACACATTTTATTAGGCGTTCTCTTGGTGTGGGACGGAGTGGTCTAGCGGTAGAGAGCTGGACTGCTAACCCGTTAGTCTCGAGTTCGAATCCGAGTTCAAGTCAGTGCACCGTCCCTGAGTCCACCCAACTCTGATGGGTACCTAACTCCTGTTAGGGAAAGTAAAGGCGGCTGGGCATAGTGCTGACCACACTATCTCTTCATATGCCGAGGTCACAGAAACAAGTGAACTCTACTTCACTTACCCCATAAGACCGTCAGGTTTGAAAGGAAAACCTTTTCACTTGGTGTGCAATTCTTTTTTTTTACGAGATTCTATTATATTATAAAAAGTTTAAGTAATTAAAAATGAATAACAAATATTGTCTATGTCCTGAGTTGCCATCCCTCGTAATCTTATAAAATATATTAGAATATTCCTGAAAGTTTAGGGGAGATCACTCCCGGTTTATTTATTTGGCGATCACTTGGTGTGCAATTCTTTTGTCTACGAGATTTTATTCTATTTTTAAAACTTTAAGTATTTAAAATGGATTAAAAATCGTGTCTATTGCCCGAGTTCCCATCCATTGTTGTTTTATATAAGAATATTCGAGAAAGTTTAGTGGAGATCACTCCCGGTTTATTTATATAAAAATATTCGAGAAAGTTTAGGGGAGATCACTCCCGGTTTTTTTCTTTCTTATAAGTTTGCAAAGTGATTAAAACGTTCCTTGAAGTCCATTTTCGCTGCTCCTGTATGTTCTATACTTAGGATGGCCAAGTTACTGACTCAAAGCGCATATCTACAACTTGTTACATAACTTTATCAAAATGGCGAGACTTGGGGTGTCCAAATGTATACTACTGAGGCGGCTGAAGGACACCACTTGTTTTATTTAGCCATTGATTATAGTAGCCCTCCTTATCCCTTTGTTATAGCGCTAATTAAAACAAGTGCATGCGCCGTGGTGCTCACGGGGGGGGGGGGGGAAGCCCGCGGCGCTGACAGATGCACCTGTGCAGTTTGTCCGTTGAATTAAGCAGTAACCCTGACCCCTTGTGCAGGAACCCAATTAACTGACCCCAAGTGCTAGGAAAGCCGCTGGGAAACTCTGGGTAGCAAACCGAACCGCCTTACTGCCAAGGGACCGCTCTCCTTATGAAATAAAATAAAAAAATTAATGGCAGAAAACTTTGCAGGAGTTGTGGTTGGAAATTTCACGGTCAGTAGAGGTTTGTTTGAATTATTCTGAACGACTAACCGATGTTTCTTGGCGATTGGATCATTTTAGTATTAATGCAAACAGGACAAGGGGACAGACAAACAAAAATCTTTAAGTAACGGCATATTGATTAAAGATAAATTAGATCAACAAACACATTGTGATTAATTAAAACTTTAAAAACATTAACACATTTGCGACAAAGCTTGTTGTGAAAACACTGTCCACGGCTGATATTTTTTTTTTAATGGCTCGATTGTAATCATGGATGGATGGAATTTCGGTGAGGACAGAGAGTTGAGAAGGCAGGGGGTGCAGATTTGTGGCGGTGGGGTAGAGAGTTGAGAGGAGAGGGGTTGCAGGTTTGTGGCGGTGGGGTAGAGAGTTGAGAGGGGAGGGGGTGCAGGTTTCTGGCGGTGGGGTAGAGAGTTTTTAGCGACGCGTATAAATTTGCGGGTGCCGGATGCCAATCTTACAAAAGAGTCAAAGTTCAAGTTTATTTATAGGCTCATTCTCTCAACGGCTTGCCCGACAATGCAACAATGTCTACAGTTTTATTAATACCGATGGGCCTTTTACAACCCTCCTTCCCCAGTAAGAAAGGTTTGGGGGCCTTTTTTTGAGTTTTTGATTACTTCTACATTAGAAAAGAAACTGGACTTCCGTTTTCTTTTTAAAATTATTTTATTTTACAAATATTAAAATTTCAATGTAAAATTTTTTAAAAATTTAAAGAGGGACAAGGGCCCCTATTTGCCTTGGGCCCTTATGCCTTGCTTACGCTAGCTATGCCACTGCTTTGTATTGAACAGACAGGATGCCTGTATTAGACAGGTAGTTACCCGACGAACACTAGTCCTGACTTTCTTGTTGTAGTTGTTGTATATTTAGGCCTACTTGTCTTGGTATAACAAAATTAACATTCAGTGGCGGGAATAAGGGGTGGGAGGAGGGCGACGGGGCGGGGGGAAAGAGTGATCATCATCATGGGGGGGGGGGGGGGGGGCATCGAACAGAGTGATTTATTGTTGTTTTTTTTTGGAAGAAAGTAAAAGTGTTGTTATGTTGTGTCATCTTAAGGATTTATCCGTTCCCAAACAGAATTATTAATTTACCGAATTCATTCAAATTGTTATATACAATCATTTCCAAAGGTGCTGACTTAATATAGTCATCGAATTGTCCGCGTCTTTTATGGAGGAAAGGGAATCGGTGAAGGGCAGTGATATGGTAGTCATTAATAAACGCCAATTTTTTAAATGTAGGATATCATTTACAATAGTTAAGATCATAATGATTTTTGTTTTAGAATATTCTAAACAAATTTTGAAGTTTATACTGTTTTGATACATGGACCGAGTTCGCTTTATTGTAAAGTTGTCCTGATTTCTCACGCGTCTAAAGTATCGGCATTCACGGCATAAATAAGGTGTAGCTGGCTGTCACGTCGTTTTCTCCCTAATTATTTATAGACACGAACTTTCTTTTGTGAGACCGCGATCATGACCAGCAATGTGATACGCGGTCGCTCTATAAACAAAAACTTTCTCTTAAATGACTCCGGAGTCCTTTTTCTTAAGGTATGGCAACCCAAGGCATAGATTTAAGTACACAGTTATCCTTTACCTCACCCAACCAACTGCCACCCACCCCAAAGCTTCACACTACTGAACGTCCGTGATTACATTTGAGAATCATTTCTTTTTGATATTCATAAACATAGAGTGTGCTTTCACTATTCGTAACCAGTAAGCTATCAATGTTTTTCTATTTGTTTTAACTTTAATTTTGTTGATATTGTAATTTGTTTAAAATTCTGCGCTTACTAACGGTACAGTCTCTTTTTTAAATACACCTATAACGTATGCTAACGGAAGCTAGTTTGCTGACAAATCTCCTAACGCCCAAGACCAAAACCAGATTAGGCACCTGGAACATCAGAACCCTATATGAAAGCAGCAGATCAGCCCAGGTCGCTAAAGAAATGAGGAGGTATAAATTAAAAGTCCTAGGATTAAGTGAGACACGATGGAACGGCAGTGGCCAAACTAGGTTGCTCTCGGGAAAGACTGTCATCTACTCAGGTCACGAGGACGAAGATCATGAACACACGCAAGGTGTAGCCATAATGATGTCTCCAGAAGCAACAAATGCTTTGATTGCATGGGAACTCGTCTCGCCACGACTCATAGCAGCTCTTTCAATGCCAAGGGAAGGAAAACAACTTTAATCCAGTGCTATGCACCCACAAATGCTGCAACGGATGGAGAGAAAGAGGACTTCTACAGCGCCCTGCAGGCTCAAATTGACAAATCACCAAAAAGAGATATAAAGATAGTAATGGGAGACATGAATGCCAAAGTTGGAACAGAAAATAAAGAACGGGAGCTCACAATGGGGAAAAATGGAATAGGCATAATAAATGAAAACGGGGAACTCTTTGCTGATTTCTGCGCATTTAATGATCTAATTATAGGGGGGGGAACAATTTTCTCTCATAACACCACCTGGACGTCACCCGATGGCAAAACAAAGAAGAAAATTGATTACTTCACAGTTTCCAGAAAGTGGAGAAGAAGTTTAATGGATGTTAGGGCGAAACAAGGTGCAGATGCAGCCTCAGACCACCAACTCGTGGTTGCAATACTAAAATTAAAACTAAAATCCTACAGGGATCGAGCTGATAAACCACACTTTAAATTCAATACAACATATCATAGGTGTCCAAAAATAAAGGAAGACTTTAACTGCGCAGTAAAAAAATAGATATGAAGCACTCTCCAGCCTGGCAGAGGAAACAGTAGAGCAAAAATGGCTATGAATGCAGGAACTATGGAAGTCAACATGCACTGACATATTGGGGAGAAGAAAAAATGAACAAAAATAATGGATCACATCAAAGACATGGGCCAAAATTGAAGATAGAAAAGAGATAAAGCAGAAGATTAACAAATGTAAGGATGAAAAAGAGAAAATAAACCTCAGAACACATTATTGTGAAGTAAATCGCATGGTCAGGAAATGTGCAAAAGAAGACGAAAGACAGTTCATACATGAGATGATAGAGGAGGTAGAAACTGCGGCACGACAAGAAAAAATGAAGAGGCTCTATGAAGTAACCAGGACACTATCAGGCAAGAACATTAATCCCAACAAACCAGTAAAGGATAAAGTAGGAAATATCTTAACAAGTGACACAGAATAGAGAGACAGATGGGTAGAGCACTTTGACGAGATTTTAAACCATCCTCTCTCATCAAACATCCCCGATATACCACCTGCAAATCACCTACTAGATGTGTGTACAGATCCACCCACAAAGTTAGAAACAATAAGAGCAATAAAAAACATGAAAAATGGCAAAGCAGCTGGCTCGGACGGCATCCCACCAGAGGCACTCAAGGCAGACCCAGCCATAGCAGCAGACATACTACATCCTCTTCTTAAGCAGATTTGGGAAGAAGAGATAATCCCATCTGACTGGAACCTGGGATACCTGATAAAAGTGCCAAAGAAGGGAGACCTAACACAATGCAGCAACTGGAGAGGGATAATGCTTCTTTCAGTTCCAAGTAAGGTGCTGACAAGAATCATCCTAGAGAGACTTAGAGATGCCTTGGACAAAAAGCTGAGACAAGAACAGGCTGGTTTTCGTCAGGACAGGTCATGTACTGACCACATCGCCACGCTGCGTATCATTATCGAACAGTCCCTTGAGTGGCAATCCCCCTTATACATGACTTTTGTTGACTTCGAAAAGGCTTTTAACAGTGTGAATAGAGATGCTATCTGGAAGTTAATGAGCCACTATGGAATACCCAAAAAATGTATATCTATCACACAGAAACTATATGAAGACTTCACCAGTCAGGTAATACACAAGGGAAAGCCAACAAAACCATTCACGGTGACGACGGGTGTAAGACAGGGATGAATGCTATCGCTAATGATATTCTTGATGGTAATCGACTGGATCATGCTGAGGGCCACAAAAAACGACACAGGAATCCAGTGGAGTTTCACAAAAAGGTTGGAGGATCTTGATTTTGCCGATGACATCTGCCTACTATCTCATAAGCATCAACACACGCAAGTCAAACTAAATCGGCTGTCTGAAGAAGCCTCCAAAATTGGACTAAAAATCAATAAAAACAAAACAGAGGTCATCAGAATCAATAACAGCCAGGACCTGCCCATACAGCTAAATAGAGAAGATTTACGAGAAACAAACACATTCACATATCTGGGAAGCGTGATCAATAAGGACGGGGGAGCAGACGAGGACATAAAAAGCCGTATCAACAAGACTAGATGTGCCTTCAACTCACTGCACCCGATGTGGTATCCAATAGATACTAAAGAGACCCACGCTTTTCTTTATAGTTATTTAAATAGTAGTGTATAGTTTATTTTCTACTTTTTAGTGCATTATTACATAAAAGCTTGTTATTAAACCGTTTTTTATGATTTTTTTTTATATGAACTATTGGTCATTAACAACTTTGTTCTAAATTTTGGGCATGTGATTAGGATGCAAGAAATAAAATAAGAACATTGGTAAAACGTAGGAGAGATAAACATCTGGCATTTTAGCTGATAGACTTGAAAACATTTATGTGTGCATGTATGTTATATATATATATATATATATATATATATATATATATATATATATATATATATATATATATATATATATATATATATATATATATATATATATATATATATATATATATATACTAGCCGTCCCGGCCAGGCCCTGCTCTGGCTTCTGTGAAAAACCTTTCTGTTAAAGACCATTACCTGTGTGTTTAGTAATCATCATAAACCCGGCATTGCCCACCCAAACCACAACCAACCAAAACCAAAACAACAAAACGCAAACATAACGCTAACACAATTACAAATACAAACGAAAACAAAAACTTAACAACAAACACAACCACACCCACAAACACCAATACAAACACAAAGAAAAAACAAACAAAAAAGCAAACGAAAACAAAAACCTAACAACAAACCCAACCACAAACACCAATACCAACAAAAAAAAATCAACGAAAAAAGCAAACGAAAACAAACCAAATCCAAACGCAAAACCAACCAAAAACACAAATACAAACCCAAACAAAAAAAACACAAACAAAAACGAAAAAAGAAAGAACAAAAACGAACCAAATTAAAACGCAACCACTAACGCAAACCCACCTAAACACAAAGAAAACACTAACGCGAACATAAACGCCCGGGGCGGAATCACCTGTTTTAGCTTAATGAACGACTATAGTACCCCAACTTATTCACAGTCTTTTGCACTCACTTAAACGAACGCGCCTGTTTCAATTTAATAAACAATTTTAATACTCCAAGCTTAACCGTAAAATACCTACAACATTTGCACTTGATCAATCCCCGCTAATTATGTAATTATTTTTTTTCCCAACACCAAAACAAAGTAATTAAAAAGTAAATTATTTTCACGGAATGCAATGGTTTTTTATAAAGGGAAGTAATTGTGTTTTTCCTAATTTATCAAAGGGAAGTAAGTGCTATAGGACTAAATAAAGACATAATTAGAATTTTTGTAAAGGATGATATTTTTTTTAAAACTTGTGTTTAATGAACATGCCGACAATTATTACTATAATTTGAAAAATGAAAATTATTTCCCAACACTTTCAATGGTAATTTTTTAGCTCATAAATTTAGACAAATGCGCACGATAATTTTTCTAACACTTAAAATCGTACAATTCCAACGACATACAAATGCATTACATACAGAACTGAGCTTTATATATTATATATATATATATATATATATATATATATATATATATATATATATATGGGCTATTTATATAATGGTAAAAGCAGGCCCCGCGCGGATGGTTGGCACTAGGCAGGGGCGTTTAGGGGCCCAGTTCCGACCAAAAAATATTGAATTTTTTTTTTTTAAATTATGTTTTTCATGCAACCTTTAAGTGAGTTTTTGTAAAAAAAAAAACAACAGGTCTACTATAGCATTATAGCAGAGATTGTTGCGTAGAAAAATATTTTAAAATCTACAAGAGCTATAGTTTGAAAGGTAGGTAAACATTCACACTACTTCCATGACTTACGACCCTTCTTTAAAATAGGGATGTCCACGAAGCTCATTTTAACAGTTTTGTACTATCTATCTATATATATAATTCTCTTCTTCGAGCCGTTAGAAAACAAGCTGCAAACGCTCTCCCTACCTCCCCACCCCTACATGGTTTTAGTGAGCTGTGTTCACTCTAAATGTTTACAAGCAGAGCCAACAATTTTAAACGTAGGGGGGGGGGGGGAGAGGGGGGGGGGAGGGAAGGAAGGGGGGGGGGTTATGGTCCTTAACGAGCTACTTATAGTGTTTTAAAGAAATATTTTCAGTGTCAGCGTTGGTACTGTCGAATTCACAAATTATGAATTATTGAAAATTAGAAACAACTAAATAGCGGCGTATGTTATGCCGCGGGCCGGTGTATATTAAAAAGCAATTGATTCTCTGAATTGTTACTTAAATAAGACGTACTATACAATAGTATAGATATAAAAATCAATGTTTTCAAAATTGATATTATAAAAGCCAAAAATGAAAAAAATAAACATAACGCGAGAAACCATCAGAGGCGTAGCTAGGGGAGGGCGGCCGCCCCGGGCGCCGACCCCAGGGGGGGGCGCCAAAAGGGGTAGAAAAAAATATTAAAAGCTCATTTTAAGTTGCAGTTTTGAATTATAAACAGTCAAAGTAAAGAAATTTAACGGCTGGGAGCCTTTGCATACTGATTTAACTGTTTTCTACCTTGATTGTGTAACTGTAAAACGTATATCTTTAAGAAACAGTGACCGGAAAAACCGCTTTCCAGCTTTCCTAGATGGGGAGGGGGGGGGGCGCTTTTTCGAAGACTAAAATCGGAAAAATTCACAACGGATTAAGGAATAAATAACCGATATCACTCAGAAAAGAAACCCTTTGAACTAAAGCGTATTTTACGATTGTGTAACATAAAAAAAGAGTTAGTGACGTTTAAAATCCGCTATGTACTAGATAGGTTGCTAGATAACTCTTTTAACACTTAGTAAAGAAATCAATTGTATTAACACTTAATGTACGATTTCACTACCCAGTTTTGCTAAGTAATAACGCGACTAATTCTTTGTACGATTCTTACGATTCTCTCAACGTGATCGTGATAGATCAGATACTTTTACTTGATTGCATTACATCTTGCCGGGTTCACTGCATTAAAGAGAAATAAAAATAACGGATTCTTGTATCGCTATCCGATCGGTAAAATAGCAGACTGTCGGAGCAGGTGGATGGGAAGCGACACTCTTTGCCAAAATTTTAAGAGAGAAGAAAATTAGTATATTGTACTGATTATTACTTTGTTCAACCTAACTGATAATTCAAAATTGCAATATTGTTCTAAAGACATGAGCAAAAGTAGACCAAATAAGGCTTGCACCTTCTACAAAATACACTCTAAAGCAGTGGTTCTTAACTTTTTGGAGTACTGAACCCAACCAGTTTCATATACGCAATCACCGAACCCTCCTTAATAGTTGTATCGTCCACAATGACAAAATCCGATCGTGAATCCTATGCGTCGGGTGTGTGTCTTGACCTCCGCGGAAGCCCTGAGACTTAATCACCGAACCTCTCGGGTTCGATGGAGCCCACTGTTTTAAGCTCTTTTGATTTTCTACATTTTATTCGTTTCAGCATCTTACTTAAGGGGAATTTAATTGGCGTCCAGTAAAGTTTTAGGGAACGACAATCAGCGTAATTGTTAATTTTTTTCCAGACTGTCGCACACACAAACACACACACACACACACACACACATACACACACACACACACACACATATATATATATATATATATATATATATATATATATATATATATATATATATATATATATATATATATATATATATATGGGGGGCGCCAAACTGAAAGTTTGCCCCGGGCGCCTGGAGGGGTTGCTACGCCTCTGGAAACCATTCACGAATCAAGCTAACGTCTTTATATATTTATGAAACTTTTGTAATACTAGATGAGTTTGGACTAAATTTTCTCTGGTTTGTTGTCTCAGATGGTTATATATTGCAATGAAGTAGACTAAATTACTCAGTTAGGATATATATATATATATATATATATATATATA